TGGCTGTCTGCATGCAAGCTCATTTGGACGCGGTTACATTTGGATATGGTCATCTTTGTCCGCAAGAGAAAATGTCTGCTTGGAGAGAAATTCATTTTTTTAGTGCTTTACAATCATATCGTTTGAGCTTCGACCCATAATTTTAAGAGTGATTTTGGTGTATACCAAAAGTTTACCAATCATTTGAGTGTATACCAAAGGAAACTATGAAATTAGCTCTGACTTACCACATCATCATTTTTTCACCATAATACCCCTACTTTCCATGATGTCACACTACAAGAAAACAATACAATTTTTTACCAATATATTTCGTCGATAAATTTTCATCGAATTTTTGACCAAAAGCTGTCCAAAAGTTAAATTGGTCGAGAATTGGTTGAGAATTAGTTGAAACTTTTTGACATTAAATATGGTTTATATTTAAACAAAGATTTTCGACCAGTTTTCGACTGTTGATAAAATCCGTCACATTTTGGTCAATATTTTGTGACGAAAGATATCAAACGAAAATTGGTCAAAACTACTAACCAATTATCGACCAAAATAGAGCCGTCTGAAGCTTTGTATAGCCGTATCATATTGGTCGAATATTTGTTGGTAATTTTCAACAAAAATGTGACTAATTCTAACTTTGGTGATTAATTGGTCAAATATCTTTGACAAAAAGTTGCTGACGAAAAATGGTCAAAATTATTGACGAGTATCTCACCAAAAGAGAGCCGTTTGTAGCCGTTTTTTTGGGTTGAAATGGTTGAAAATTCAAAATCAGTCATAATTGTTTTCTATAAATACCTCTCATTCTCCTCACCATCAAAACATAGAATCAAAAATGGCTTCTAGTAGTCATAATTGTCGGGACTGGATGTATCGACATCGATATCCGGAACCCGGCAAAGTTACAAAAGATTTTGGAGACAGGCTTACCGAATTTATTCGGTTTGCAACAAGTCGGGACTTACCATTAAAATCTGGAAGATTGTTTGTCCTTGTACTCGTTGCAAGAATAGAATATTTTGAGAGGTTTCAGAAGTGTAAAACCACATATATATAGTAGAAGCTTTAGGCCAAATTATTATGTATGGTATTTTCATGGGGAAGATTCCACTACTTTATCTATTAGTAGTGTATATATGGGTGAAAGTAGTGGATATATAGCTGAAAGTAGCGAATATACGGGAGAAAGATCTGAACAATCCAAAGAAAATGTTGGTACTATTGAGATGGTTACTCATGCATTTAGGGAAAATATTCTAACGACTGGTGGGAATACAGTAGAGGAACCAAATGCAGAAGCTATGAACTTTTTTAATATGTTAGATTCAGCAAAGCAACCGATATACGAAGGATGTCGAGCGGGTCATTCACCTTTATCAGCTGCAACAAGGTTAATGACCATAAAAACAGATTTTAATCTGGCTGAGGATTGCTTTGATGCAATAGTTGATTTTGTTAAAGAGTTATTGCGTGAAGAGAATCTTGCCCCTCATCCTATTATGAGGTTCACAAATTGGTGTCGGGACTTGGGCTGCCATATCAAAAGATCGACGTCTGCATCGACAATTGTATGATTTAATGGAATACGGATGCAAATCGGTTAGCTTGCCAATTTTGTGGCAAACCGAGATATCAAATGACGAGTGGAGTTTGAATTCTTTATAAATGTATGTGGTATTTTCCATTAACAGAACAGTTGAAAATATTATATCAGTCTGCACGAACAGCAGAGTCAATGAGATGACATGCATAGCATACAAGCGGAGATGAAATTGTGCATCCTTCTGATGCTGAAGCTTGGAAACACTTTCAATCAATATACCCCAATTTTGCCAGTGAGAACAGAAACGTCTATCTTGGATTAAGTACAGATGGTTTTAATCCATTTGGGAACCATGGTAGGAAATACTCGTTGTGGCACCTTACAATCTGCCACTAACTTTGTGCATGAAAAGAAAGTTTTTATTCCTCACCATTCTAGTTCCTGGTCCTGATCAACACCGGAAGCGATCTCTTGAAGTCTTCTTGCAGCCTTTGATTCATGAGTTACAAGAGTTGTGAAATCATGGTGTACCAACATATGATGTATCAATGTAACAAAATTTCGTGATGAGTGCAGTGCTTATATGGACGATTAGTGATTTTCCTACATACGGAATGTTGTTTGGCTGGATGACTCATGGAAGGTTATCATGTCCATATTTTCAGGACTACACTGATGCATTTCAGTTAAAACATAGACGAAAGACAAGTTAGTTTGATTGTCATCGACGGTTTTTACCGATGAACCATCCGTATCGACGAAATAAGAAGTCATCCATTAGGAACAGAGTTGTCCATGACACCCCACCTTTGGAGTTAACCGGTCGCAGTATCTGTTCACAGTTGAGAGATTTTGGCGCAGAGAAAACTACAGAGTACGGGGGAAATGAGCATTATGTTGTTAACGGTTATGGTGAATACCACAATTGGCATAAGCAGAGTATATTTTGGTATTTTCCATATTGGAAAGATCATCTGCTAAGGCGTGATCTTGATGTTATACACGTCGAGAAGAATTTCTTTGACAATGTCCTAAATACTGTCTTAAATGTCCAAGGAAAGACAAAAGATAGTTTACAGTCTAGATTAGACTTTCCAAGCCTTTGTAAGCGCGAGGAGTTACATTTGTTGCCAAACGGGAAAGATCCCAAACCCATTTTCAGACTAGATGCATGCTCGAAAGAAGAGTTATTTCAGTGGATTATCCAGTGTTAGATTTTCCAACGGCTATGCATCAAAACTAGGAAACTTTGTTGATACTCACAATGGTCGGTTATCTAGTATGAAAAGTCATGATTGTCATGTTTTCATGCAACGTTTGCTTCCATTTGCCTTTAAAGAACTTTTGCCAACAAACGTACATGAAGCCGTTGCAGGTAAGAAAAACAATTATTTGTACATGAAGCCATTGCAGGTAAGAAAAAAAAATTACATAAACATTAAATCATTAATATTTAATGTGTGTTAAAAATTTCAGGGATTGGTGCCTTTTTCATAGACCTTTGTTCAAGATCGATTACAAGTGATGGTATTCGACATTTGGACCAGACTATACATGTACTGTTTTGCAATTTGGAGAAGATTTTTCCACCAGCTTTCTTTGACGTAATGGAACATCTTCCTATTCATCTTCTTAGAGAAGCAGCGCCAAGTGGGCCTGTCCAGTATCAAATAGATGTATCCATTTAAAAGATACATGTTCCATCTCAAAAAGAAGGTGAAGAATTTGAGCAGAGTAGAAGGTTCGATTGTGGCTCAAACCATCAATGAGGAGACATCAAACTTCTCATCATACTAATTTCCACCACAAGTACGAACAAAATCTAGAAAGCCCAATCAATTTGACGGTGGAGGTGAGCCACCTTATTATCCTGCTGTTGTACCTGATCTTTTTTCACAAATCGGAAAACTTAGTGGAAAAAACAAAAAGAGGTGGCTAACAAGAAAAGAAAAAAATCATATTCATAATTATATTCTCCTAAATTACTAAGAACTGTTGCCATTCGAGAGGTAAGATTTCTTGACAATTTAATTTTACTTACTATTAAATGTATATTTTTTTTTTAATTAAATTTTTTGGAATTTTTTCAGTATGTTTGTTGATCAGATTAAGGAGAATTACCCACAATTCTCGGATGATGAAGTTTGTGTCATGAAAGAAAAATAGTTCTCTGACTGGTTGTCCTACTATGTGAGTTTCATTATGAAGAATGCTCAAACAGATTTTATTTAACGTTATAAAATAAACTTTCATTGAACTTCAAATTTTTCATAGGTTCAAACTTGGTCTACGAAGGGAGTAATATTTTCAACATGGTTGGAAGAGTTGGTTCAAGGTCATGTTTTACTTGCATGGTCTTCACCGATGTATTGCACACGTGGATATATATTTAAAATTTATCGTGAATGAAAAAAACAAACAACGTAGAATTATGGTACAGTTTCACGAGGGGGTTCTATAGAATACTATGGCGTTCTTAAAGAAATCTTGTAAGTTGGCTATCCTGGTCTAATTAACAAGAAATGCATCATTTTCATGTGTGATTGGTATGATCCCGGTGGAAGAGGTGTTCGCCAGATAAATTTGGTGTAACATCAGTTAATTCATACTGAAGATTTACCAAATATGATCCTTTTATACTCGCTTTCCAGGCTGATCAAAAGTGTTATATACGATATCCGCGACCCTTGGATCATAGTGATTCAAATTAACCGAAGAGGACGAATAAACGGTGTGTTTGAAAATAATCCATTGCAGGAAACTTCAGCAGCCGTCCAGAGTTTAATTGATCATTCCCTTGAAGACATATCTCTAGTTTATTCGAAATTTCCAGTAGCAGACACTATGTTGGAAGATTTTGAAGACGAACGTGGAAACTTTAAAAGCTCAAGTGAATCGGCATCTTCAGAATACTCTTCCGATTCTGAATAAATTTGCTATGTTATAATAGTTGATGAATTTGATATTTATGATATAATTATTTGTTTGAAAAATTAATATGTTTCTTTACTTTTTTTCAAGTACTTAATATGTTTCACCCAGGAATTTGTGATTTTTTTTAAAAAAATTAATGAATTGTATTTACTACTTATTTTCATATTACTAGTCCAATTTGGTTATTATTCTCAACTGTGTAGTTCAATTAATCACATAAGATAATACATAATCATATATACTTTATAAGCCTAACAGCATCACAACATAAACTTAAGCACGTAAATGGTGCAAATCATTAGGGAAAAATAACTATATAAACAATAACGTTGAATCATATGATTATTAAGACCAAGTAATCGTAGTTGGGCTGTAATGAATTTTTTTCTTCTTATGTAATTGAAAGCCCAAATTAAACTCATTACCCTTAACCCTAATATGACTAAACCCATAAATCATCACAGCCGTAATCTGTTCTTCTTCTTATCTTCTCTCCATAATCTCTTCTTCGCGTTTCTAATATCTTCTTCCTCTTTTCTTCTCTTCTGTAATCTATTCTTCTCTTCTGTATCTCTTCTTCCTCTTTTCTTCTCTTCCCTAATCTATTTTTCCTCTAAATCAAGGATTTTTACACTTTTCTGCCGTAAGCTCTGCATGGCGAGTGAAGATGTTTCTGATACTCCAGACTGGCGTGAGTTCCAACAATGGGGAGAAAATCGACGAGTTCCACAACAACAAGTACCACAGCAACAAGTACCAAACAATTCTCCTGAGACCCAAAGATCAACAGCTTTATATCAACTTACAATCAATGAGTTGCTCCAGACTCTAGGCCGAGAAAACATGACCGAACTCTATCCAGGACGACCTGGCAAAACAACATGGTAATACCTTCCTATTTAAATCCTTCGTAATATTGTTTTTATCCAAATTTATGAGTTTTGAAATTTTAATATATGGTTCGGTTCATGTGAAGGTTTAAGTATAATACTCGGATAACAAAGTCAGTGTTGCTTATGATGAAATCTGATTTAAAGATCTTCTGATCCTAAATATAGAAGATTACCAGAAGAAATTAAACTTAGGTGGTTCAAATCATTGCTGTCAGTATATTTTTGTTGTTTGCTTAAACCTTGTTAATTTTTATGGTGATATATATGATTAATGTGTTCATCTCTATCTTTGTTAAATTGTTTATTGCAGCAAGAATTCAACTGGAATCCCACATATACAGTCATTGTGGAAAAAAGTTCCATAAAGTAGCAAGATCTGTGTTCAAAAACCAAATGTACCTTTGAAAAAAAGATTGGGAAGCAGGGAATGAAAAGCCGGTGCGGATAACATCTCGTGAAGTTTGGAATGAATACATCAATCACTGGCAGAACCCTAAGACAAAGAAAGCTTCTGCTAAAAACAAAGCTAACCGGAACAGCCACCATGGAGGAGATGGCCCAGCTGCACACACCACAGGTTCTAAGTCTTATGTTAGGCGTTATGATGAAATGGTAAGTTCTAATTTCACTAATCATTCACAATCTTCATTCTTGTCTAATGTTATTAGTACTTCACTGAGTTAATTTCACCATCATTGTGTAGACAGAAGAAGCTGGAGAGCCTCCAAGCATCGTGAGTTTTATGATTGAAACACACAAAAGCAAAAAAACAAAGGCTTTTGTGGATAAAAGGGCTGAGAGAATTGTGGAGACCTTGTTAGTAACAATTGTTAACCAAGTTTTGACTCAATTATTTTGATTTATTTGTCAAACAATTTGACCACTTTAATGGTCAAAATTTTCGACCAAATTTTTCGTCATAAATTTAGACTGATATATTTGGTCGATACTATCGATTTATGAAATTCGTCAGAAATATTCGACCACTAAATGTCGTCAAAAACTTTTGATCATTTTATTTCGTCAAAAATTTTTTGACCAAAACATCTTATCAAAGTTTTCGACCAATTTTAGACGAAATAAGATTTTCGACCATTGATTTCTGACAACCGTATTTTGGTCAAAATATAGTCAAAAACAGGTGTTTTTAATGATTTTATGACTATATTGTTGGTCAGATTTTACCTGAATCGTTATTTTGGCTTTTTCTATATTTCAGCTTTTTTACGTGAACCATGTCTAATACCTGAAGCATTAGATGCTCGTCAGTGATGCCTAGATAAATCACGGATAATGACCCCACAATCTGACACAAGATTTGGTGTATCCAATTATTGTGTGATAGATAATGAATTTAGACATGGTAAACGACATAACGGTTCAGGTAATATTATAGCAAATTTTAATGTATATATATCTGATAATTACATGTGAAAGTTATCGTTAACTTTATCCCATGTTGATAACATATTTTTTTTTTTAAATAACAATTCACTAATATAATAAAATTTATTCGTTAACATCACATTTTTGTTTTATTCGAGTAAGATAAAAAATAATACACTAAACTTTAAACCCTAAAACCTAAACCTTAATATTAAACCTCTTAATTAAATCCTAAACCATACAATAAAATCATAAGCCCTAAACCCTACACCGTAAACACTAAAATACTAAAGTCTAACTACTTAAACCTAACACATAAACAAAGTTGTTTTCGACTTTTAATACAATTTACTAATGAATTGTTTTAGGTTTAAGTGGTTTTGTAGATGTATATAGTGCGTGTACCAGCGGTTAATGCAAAGAACAAGACAAGAATAATCGAAGACAATTGGTATCCAATATGGGATGAGGAATTCAGTTTCCCATTAACAGTTCCGGAGCTTGCATTGCTTAGGATTGAAGTCAGAGAGTATGATATGTCTGAAAAGGATGACTTTGGGGGACAAACATGTTTGCTTGTGTCAGAACTAAGACCTGGGATTCGATCTGTGCCATTGTATGATAAGAAGGGGGAGAAAATGAAATCAGTATGGTTTTTGATGCGTTTCACCTTTGAATGATTTGGTTTAATAGAAATGGATGTGTTCGGAAGAGTATTTGCACCATTTCAGAAAACTTTTGAAGTATTGTATAATGTAGCTTGAAGATCAAATGGATATTTGCTCTAATATCTCCAATAGTGTTTTTATACCTAACATATTGAAGAAAATGAAATTATAGAGTCTACATTTTTTTCAATGTGTAAAATCTATTGTAAGATGATCCTTACTTTGGAATTTTCAAAGCTGTTACTTATTGCACTAATTCATGATTAGGATATATAGAATTTCGAAATAGGGTTGACGATATTCACCTTATACTCTCGTTACAGTATTTCCTTTTTCCCTTTGTTTTATAAAATTATCTGTTTTTATTTTAAAAATTTCAAAAAAAAAAATTCAAATCTCATATTCAACATCTTTAACTTTATTACCTCTGCAATCCAGCACCTCTAAAAAAATGTTGAATATATATCCTATTATTAAAATCAATATACAACAATTAAATCAAACATTATTCGAATTCTAGGGATCTATATGCTCCATGGAATCTATTCACAATTACTTGGATCAGGAAAGATTTGAGACAGAAGCTAAAGTCATGTTTCGCAAACTCCTCATTCTTGAATCTTGGCCCTGACAAAACTTTGTCTGAAACAGAGGCATCTTTATTTATGAACTCGTTAGGTTCCTTCAGGCATCAAACTATAGCTATGCAATTCAATCCTGTTGACTGTTGAACAATCTATTGACTTTCAATTTATATTAAGGTTTTGAAAGAACCATGTATAAGAAGCTACAAGTGTGTTACACGAGTCCAACAAATGTTTTTTTTTGGTTGATTCCAACAATTAAAATTTAGAAAGTTACATGATGTTTATCTTCTACATTGAGACTGACACAAATACAACACTTTCTTTGTTATTAACAAGTTTATCCTCTTGACGTTTATAATCGTCTTTCTAATTTAAGTGCGATTAATCTTTTCATTAGTTGCTCTTTGAGCAAAATTTCTATCATTCACATAGCAAAAAACCAATTGGCTTTGGCTCATGAATCTTCAAGTTTCTAGAGGATTGGCTCTTCAGAGTTTCATCCACATGGATCATATATTCCCAATTGCAAATTGATTGTACCCTATTGGGTAAAGGGATATGATACCATAGAGGAATATTGGCTCATCAAAGTGTCATCGATTAGGATCATATATTCCCAGTTACAAATTGATTGTACCCTATTGGGTAAAGGGTTATGATTTTACAAGAAGATTCATAAGCATTCCACTTCAAAGCCAATTGGTAACTAATGCAACAGCTCAAGCTTATTATATACAACATTAGATTCTTGAAAGATTTCGATGTGGGATTCATTCTGGTAACAATTTAATTGATTTGGTTGACATTATTAAAACGGGTAAACCTAAAATAACTTTTTTTTGGCCTCACCGCCTCATTGTGTGGGCTTTTTTAAAAGGAAATTACTTTCTTTGGAATATAAGCTTTTCTTTGTTTGTTGTGGAACACAGTATGTCATTTTGATTATGTCTATGTTTTATTTGGTTGAAGTTGGAAGAGTAAACGATTTACTTCAATAAAATGAATTTTCAGTTAACAAAATACAGTATGTTATTTTCTTTTAGGTTAAGCTTTTTAGCTATATATACATAAAGTCCAAGGCAAAAAAAAAAACAAAATCACAAAGTTCAGCACAATCGTGCACTGGAAGTTTCCACCGCCTTCATCGCCGTCACGATCACAACCCAAACTGTCACCGTTTCCAACTATAAAATATGGGTTTACATGGTAAAAGTAAGAGACAGACACAAGGAAGACATAAGAAGCAGAGGATGAGTCCGAGTCTGTGTTGGAGGAAGAAATCGAGGAGTATCTTCTGGCCAAAAAGGCTCAGAGGAAGGCATTAATTGCAGCAAAGAAACTGAAGACGCAGTCGAATCTCGGTGAGAGATTCATGTGGTGGAAGAAGATTGAAAACGATGTTCACCATGGAGCATATCTGGATCAGTATTCCATGAAAGCCACAAAGAGAAGGCATAACGAGAGGATGGCAGAGCTTGAAAATTTGACGAAGAGGAAACAAGATAGAGCGCGGAGAGAGCTCGACATGAGGAAAATATGGGTTATTGGTTAGAGAACATGCTCGAGCTGATTTTAAAGATTGGGAGAAGAGCGAGGGCGAGTTCTATTTCGATCAAAGCAAAGGTAGGTCATGTTTTTTTTTTGTTTTTTTGTTTTTGTTAGGAAACAGAAAACCTCGATTTCATTTAAAACAATAGAGAAGCTTCTATTTCTTCAATTCAATTAGATTATTATTATTTAAATGGGATTACTAAGTAGTATATATTTTAACAGATGTCTATGATGAAAATTAAACATAATATTTTTTTACTTAATAAATCGCTAAAGACTTCTTAGAGATAATCACAAACTTAACTAACTAAATTTATTGGAAAAGAGAAATAAAAAGGTAAATATAAGTAAAGGAAAATTTTTCCTATATAAAGAAAAAAAAAGGAAAAGAACAAAAAAAAAACTAAAGACATTCTCTTTAACAGAAATCAAACACATAAAGCAGCCAAAGAGGCAGACCGAGAGAGAGCTGAGAGATGTTGACTATAGATTTATTATCAGACGAAGAAGATTTTGAGGCTGCGGTGACATTATTTCAGTATCGCCAAGCTCGTGGAGATTTTTTTTGAGAATAATAGAACGAGTTTAACACCAGAGGAAGAGAGAGAAGCTGAGCATGAGGCTGCTTTGGCATTGATAGAGCTAAGCAAAACTCGTGCAAAACAACAAAACAAGAAGAGGAACGCTAATAAAAGCCAGCCTGAAGAAGTGAAACTTGACGGCCAAGCTGATGATAAAGAAACGCAGAAGTTGGAGTCAAAGCAACAAAACAAGAAGAAGAAAGCTAACAAAAGCCAGCCTGAAGAAGTGGAACTTGATGGCCAAGCTATTGATGAAGAAACGCAGAATTTGGAGCAAGACAGTTCCGATGATACCCTAAGGTTCTTGTCCCAAAGGAACAAAACTAAGCCGGAAAAGCCTCTCTTCGTCGATGTCGATGTGGTGGGGGTTCGCAGCGAACCGATGAGGAAGCAGTTGACTGTGAGCGACATGAAGGTAGGTCAGACCAGACTTCTGTTAGGGAAGAAGCATGTGAAGAAGATGATGCTTCAAGTTATGGGAAACTCACAGATAAGAATTGAGTTTTGAGGGATTGAGGTTTTGGTGTACGGACCATGCGGTCATATTTTTAAGATGCTGTTCAAGATGTGGGGTGGGGGCACGCCTGTGTTATCGAGTCCTATATGGAATAAATTTATGGAATATTTTGAGCTCAAGATGCATTGTGATTTTTGTCAGTATTTGGATGTTTAGGCATAGAGAAACTCGTCAGATTTTCTTTTATGTGGACTTCATTAGGTTTCCTTTAGAGAAACCGGTGAGAAAGAGGATCATTACTGTCGTCTTCCATATGGCTTAGGGTTTTTGGGTGTTAATATTATTATTATCTAACCTTTTTTGAATTAAATTAATATAATACTAAAGGTATTTATGTTACAACTGTTCGAATTTTTTTTTTACATATATTGTTAATATTTATCTGAATGAAGAAATAACTAAATAGAAAAAGTAAACGATGTCTTACATAAAAGGAAAATTTACACATAATAGGTTAGCATTAAACAAAGTTGTCTTCCACTTTCGATACCATATACTAATGAATTGTTTGAATTAACATAGATGAGGTGATCAATTTATTATATATAATATAGTTAGCGGATGTTTAATTTGTTATCTTGCTAACGTTGTTATTATAGAAAGTGTTAACATACTAATAATAATATCTGACTTTGTAACGTGCTAACAATAATATCTGATTTTTGTAACATGCTAATAATAAGTTAATTGGCAAAGCGATAAGTTAAT